TCAGGTAACTGATTAGAAGTGAGTCATCTTACATGGGACTTTAAACATAAACAGAGTCAACTTGATAGCATTCTGTGAAAGGATACTCCTTCCTTTTATGCAGTGTTTTTATCATTTAAAAAGCAATTCCTAAACTGTCTCCATCTTACAGATGAGGAAACTGAGCCTAAGAGAAGTTATATGCATAAGAGTTGAAGCGGCTGACGCTGAACTCACACTAGAGAGCAGGGTTCTTAACCTTCTTAACCGACGCTAGCCAACCCACAAACGCCTTAATCAGAGAGCCTGCAAAGGCTTGTAGTGGAATGCAAATTGTGTATGCACCAGCATTTTCCTGCAAGAAGGTCAAGGGTTTTATTTGATTTTTCAAAGAAGTTTTGTGATACAAAAATCTTTAGGGGCCACTGAAGTAAAATGCATGGATTTTTGCATCAGACAAGCCTAATTTCAAATACCAGTTTTTCTATTTACTAGTAATGATCTTCTCTAAGTGTCAAAATCACCTCCCAGGATCCTTGTGAATAGTAAACAAGATAATGCCTATAACTCACCTAGCACTGTTTTAAAAAAACCCCTTACAGTAACTGCAGGCAGGAGATGACTGGCTGTGCCCCAGTATCTCCTGAGAGACTGAATACACAGACAGACAACGGCCAGACCATGTATAAAAACAGAGCTTTGAGCCACCGTCCTCAGCAAGCCGACCAGGAAGCCAGCCTTTTATCTTTCACAAACTGCCTAGGAAGCCTGCCTGCTCCACTCTGTCAGACTTGCAGGAGGCCGGGCTGCTCTCACTAGTGGTGATCCAGCAACTTCTGTAACAATCAGCCAGAATGGCCAGAACTTGATTGGTAACTGACAGCTTCCCCAATTTTTGTCCCCGCTTCCAACTTAGGACCAACCAGAGAAAGCCAGCTCATGGGGGAGGATTAGTGAGCTTGCCCACAGCTCCTTCATGCCTGCGGCCTCCAACCTGAAGCCTCCCCTCCTACCCACTATAAATATTTCCTGCTCTTCCATCCGCCTGAGATCTCTGCCAACACGCACACGGCAGTGGTCGACTCCCTTGCTCCGGCAAGCTCACAATTCACAACCCTTGCTTTTCATCTTGTTGGCCTTCACTGACTTCCAGACTGCTGAATTCGTCTTCCAGAGTAATGGAGTCTAGCTGGCACTTGACAGACAGATGAAGACTAGAGACGCCAGCCTCCCTTGCAGGTGGACACGATCAGGACTAAATTCTGGCTAGCAGTTTGGAACGCTGTGTGGCCAGCGTCT